CACTCACAGACGGTCACACACACACACACAACCTTGATCACACACACACACACACACACACACTCACAGACAGTCCACACACACACACACACACACACAAACTCCTGGGCAGCTCACAGACAGTGCACACACACACACACACACACACACTGGCAGACAGTCACACACACAGGCAGTCACACACTCACAGACAGTCACACACACACACACACTCAGACAGTCTCACACACACACACACACACACACTAGCAGACAGTCACACACACAGGCAGTCACACACTCACAGGCAGTCAAACACATACTCACTGACCTGCTTCTTCCCTCCTGCTTGGAGCTCCTGGAGGCTGGTTGTTGGGGAAGCATCTCCTTCCTTCTTCCCATGCTGCAATTACCAGGGCCCCCGCCTGCCGCTTAGCTCCACCCCCGCCTGCAGCTTAGCTCCGCCCCACCTGCCGCTTAACTCCGCCCCATCTTCCGGTAAGCTCCACCCCCACTGCAATGTTTTTATTTATTTTTTTAAATCCCGGCCGGCCATGTGCGAGCTGCTCCCATGGGACCCTGGTACTATTCATCACTGGCCGGGGTTACAGGAGCCTGGCCAGTGATGAATAGGGCTGTCAGCCCAGCCCCAGGTGCCACAGCCCACCGGGAAATTTCCCGGTATCCCGGTGGGCCAGTCCGGCCCTGGTGGGATCCCCCCTCATGGGGAATGCTGAAGGTACGTGCACCACCAGGACCAGATAGATGTGTAAGAGGTATCTGTCTGAGAGGGAGTAGCAAGTTTCCTCCATATTCCTAGTGGTTTCCACTCTTTGGATCCAATCTCTTATGGGTGGCAGGTTTGATTTTTTTTCCAGTATATAGGGATCAATTGGTTTGCCGCTGTTATCAAATATAGGAGTAGTGTTTTTTCTTGGGAAAGTTTGGTGGTGGGAGAAGGAAGATGAAAGAATCTGGGATGAGGTCAGTTTTTCCCCCAGTATCATCTGTATGAGGCTAGAAATGCACATCCAGTAGGCTTGTATTTCAGGGCAGGACCACCAGATGTGTGATGCTGTGGCTGAGGGGTGATGGCATCTCCAACATTGATCAGAGGATTGGAGGAACATGGCTCTTAGTCTCGCTGGTGTATAATACCATCTAATTATTCTTGTATAGTTACTCTCTTGGGTCTCTGTGTTTCTAGATGTTTTGTGAATATTTCTAAAGATTTTGCGCCACCTATCAAGTGGTATGGTGATATTGAGCTCTGATTCCCATGCAGAAGTGAAGGCCTGAGGGTGTTTGGGCTGTATGGAGAGAAGGAGAGTGTACATGACAGAGATAAGCTTCGTTTTTAATATGTGCCCCTTGCAATACTTTTCAAAGGGTGTTAGTTCTCGGAGTGCCCTGTGAGACAAATGTGTCCTTTCTTTAAAAAGTGTACCATTTGAATGTATGAAATCATTTGCATTGCTGTGATATCGGTCTCCGGTAACATTTTTTTAAAAGGTTTGATTTCATTCCCTTCAATTACTGACAAGTATTGTGAGTTATGTTATTGCTTATATATTTTCCCATTTGCTCCAGGAGGGAAAAGGGGGTTGTGAGTGATTGGATACAGAGATGAGGGATAGGGGGATGTCCTGATGTGAGCCCATAGTCTGAGCGTAGGGGTGATGGTAGGATGTGTGCCATGGTGTAATAGGAAAGATCCTACCTTGTGCCACGGGATTGTGTAGATTGGGGTTCTGAAATAGGCGGCTTCCAGTTTCCCCCATTGCTTATCTGAGTGTGGGTTGCACCATTCGTATACTCTAGTGAGCAGAGTTGCTTTGTGGTATAATTCCACATCCGGGAAACCCAGCTCCTCCTCATCTTTGGTCATTTAAGAAGTGAAAAGGATAATCGGGGTTTCTTATTGGCCCATATGTAGGTGGTGAATAACTTATGGAGGGTATTGAAAAAGTGTTTGGGCAGGTAGATGGGTAGGACTTGCAGTAAATAAAGGATGCGGGGTAGCACATTCATTTTTAGAATGCTTATTCAGCAAAACCATCCGAAATGCGGCATGTTCCAAGACTTAAGGTCCGTAGTTATTGTTTGGATCAGTTTGGGGAAGTTGAGATCATATATCTGAGAGATGTCATTTGGTATGTGTACCCCTAGGTATTTAAGTGACCCCTTTGCCCAAGTAAATGTATAATCCTGTCGTAGTTGTTCCGCAGTTTATGAGGGAAGTGTGATCGGGAGGATTTCACATTTGCTTAAGTTTGCCTGAAAGTTTACTGTATAATGTAATTTCCCTCATGATATGTGGTAAAGAAATGGAGGGATGTGTGATTGTGAAGAGCATATCTTCTGCAAATGCGGCTATCTTGTGGATTGTGTCTCCTACTTGGATCCCATGTATTCTCTCTGATGCCCTGTAAGAATGGTTCTAGGACCAGTACAAATAGCAAAGGCGGCAGAGGGCACCCTTGTCTTGAAGTGTGAGCCTCATCAGGGTCCAGTCTACCCTGTCGAATGCTTTCTCTGTGCCAATCGACAGGAGTAGCCTGGTGTCTCCCGAGTGCTTTGCGTGGTGTATGAGGTTTAGGATCTTGGTTGTGTTATGCTTAGCCTCCCTCCCCGAAACAAATCCCGACTGGTCTGGGTGGAACAAATCCTGGAGGATTGGGCGTAATTGATTGGATAGAATTTTGGTGAATAATTTGAGGTCAATGTTAATTAGGGATATTGGTCTATAACTTCTGCATTGTGTGAGATCTTTGCCTGGTTTGGGCAAGAGTGTGATGGTGGCAATTAGTGCTTGTGGTTGGAGAGTGCAGCATTGCAATAGGGAGTTAAATGAATTTAGGAAGGGTTGTGTCAGCTGTGTTGAGAATGTTTTTTAGTATTTTGCCGTAAAGCCATCTGGGCCTGGGCTTTTCCCCAATGGTAAATGTTTGATTGTCTCTTGATATTCTTGAAGGGAAAGAGGTTTGTCCAGTGAGTGTCTAAGGTTAGCCGGTATGGTGGCCGAGATTCTACTTGCGAGAAACTCTTGGATGTCCTCTAGTGGAAAGGGGGTGGTCCTTAAATTATATAGTGAGGAATAGACGTCATGGAAGGCCTTGGTTATGTCTGGCATGAGGTAAGAATTTTTGCCCTCTCTGTTTTTTTATAGCGGCTATGAAGGTTCTTTCTCTCTGTTTTTTTTTAGTGTATGTGCTGAAAGACGGCCGCATTTGCCTTCCTGTGCATAGTAAAGGCTCTTCATGAGTGTCAGTTTACGTTTGGTTTTGGTACTTAGGTGAATGTTGAGTTCTGTTCTTTTTTGGATCAGTGTTTTGTATGTATCCAGAGTTAGGTTGGCTTTTTGAGTATGTTCCAGCCCCCTGATTTCCCTGAGGAGTTGCGTTACGTGTGTGCTCCGTTGCTTTTTATGATTGGAGGCCAGTTGGATGAGTGTACACCTGATTGTGCATTTGTGCGCCTCCCAGATATTCGGGTATGTAGATTCGGGGTGTTGGTTGTAACACCCCGAATCAGGGTGATTTAGGAGCGTCTCATTAAGTTTCCATTAGGACTTATTTTTTTTTTGCTTAACCTGCTCCCCAAACCTATTAGAGGAAGAGAATAGTTCATGACAATTCATTTTATGGTGAGGGTGGTATTCCATGGTTAACTCTGACACCCTCTGACACTGTAGGTCAGTGGTGGCGAACCTATGGCATGCGTGCCACAGGTGGCACGCCAAGCCCACTCTGTGGGCACGCGGCCATAGGTCGCCGGAGGGAGGGAGGGTGCGCTCCGCCGGCGCAGCCATAAGGCGGCACAAGTGGCCGCCTTAGGGTGCACCGGCCCGGCGGGCGCAAAGCCGGAGTGACCAGCAGGAGGTGAACGCAGAGCGCTCCCTCCTGCCAGGCACTCTGTGTAGCATGGCCGAGCGCACCGCGGTACAGGAACTTATGTTTCCTGTACCCGGGCAGCCGGAAATGAAGTGCTCACAGAGCGAGCACTTCCTGTCCGCCGGGTACAGGAAACATAAGTTCCTGTACCGCTGCGCGCCCGCCACGCTATACAAGGTAGGGAGCTCAAGGCGAGGGGAGGGGACCTGAGGGAGAGATGGGGGGACCTGAGGGAGAGCTGGGGGACCTGAGGGGAGAGCCATGGGGGGAACTGGTGAGAGCCATGGGGGGGACTGAGGGAGAGCCATGGGAGGGGGGAACTGAGGGAGAGCCATGGGGAGAATGGGGGGGAACTGAGGAGAGCCATGGGAGAATGGGGGGAACTGAGGGGAGAGCTATGGGGGGATTGGGGGGATGGGGGAACTGAGGGAGAGCCATGGGGGGACTGAGGGAGAGCTTTGGGAGGGGGGAAACTGAGGAGAGCTATGGGAGGGGGGGGACACCTGAGTAGAGAAAGATGGGGGAGAACTGAGGAGAGCTATGGGGGGACTGAGTGGGAGAGATGGGCTGCTAAACTGAGTGGGAGAGAGATGGGGGGGCTAAACTAAGTGGGAGAGAGATGGGGGCTAAACTGAGTGGGAGAGATATGGAGGGGGAACTGAGTGGGAGAGAGATGGGGGCTAAACTGAGTGGGAGAGATATGGAGGGGGAACTGAGTGGGAGAGATGGGGGGGGACTGATGGAGGTATAGGGGGAGAAAACTGAGTGTGGGACGGGGGGTGAGGGGGGACGACATACACACAGCACCCCTGCCCTACACATATCACCCCACACAAAGACACCCACACATCACCCTACCCACACATCACATCACCCCACCCACACACACAAACACACACAATGTACCCCTCAATGCAGTGTGTGTACACTCAGCAGTCTGTCTGTGTGTGTACACTCAGCAATCTGTCTGTGTGTGTACACTCAGCAATCTGTCTGTGTGTGTACACTCAGCAATCTGTGTGTGTACACTCAGCAATCTGTCTGTGTGTGTACACTCAGCAGTCTGTCTGTGTGTTTACACTCAGCAGTCTGTCTGTGTGTGTACACTCAGCAGTCTGTCTGTGTGTGTGTACACTCAGCAGTCTGTCTGTGTGTGTGTACACTCAGCAGACTGTGTACTCAGCAGTCTGTGTGTGTATTCAGCAGTCTGCTAAGTACACAGACAGACAGACTGCTAAATACACACACAGAGATGTTAATTAGTTCGGACAACTGTATGAGTTGTTTTTTCGAAACTTAAACCTCAGTATTCAGGTTTAAATGCCATTTTGGCACTTTGAGGGAAAAAAATTGGCATGTATTACGGTTTGGGCACTCGGGCTCAAAAAGGTTCGCCATCACTGCTGTAGGTATTAGGATTAAGGCACCAGGCATTACTTGTTATAATTCATATTGGGGATATTGACCTTCACTTCAGAGGGTTGAAGATGTAAGTGTTGTTTGCCAAGTCCCATTCTGGTTGGTTTCCACTAGGCATGTGCATGGGAAAGATTTTCGGTTCGGTTCGGCATTCCGAAATTTGGAATTTGAAATTTGGCAATTTCGGCAACTTCAGCAACTTCGACACTTCGGAAATTCGGTAATTTCGGAAATTCGGGACCTCGGCAATTCGGCACTTCGGTAATTCGGCACTTCGGAACTTCGGCACTTCGGTAATTTTGGAACTTCGGGACCGCAGCAATTCGGCACTTCAGCAATTCGGAACTTCGGGACTTCAAAATTTCGGAATGTCTCTTACAGCCGCTTGGTAGATAACTCCCTAATTTCCACGATATTAGGGAGTTATCTACCAAAAGGCTGAAAGACCTAAATTGGTCTTTCAGCCAAATTTAATAATGCTAAGTAAAAATTACTTAGTATTAGTAAATTGTGCCCCTACTCGCTATACCGCGAGTAGGGGCATGTCTATTAAACAGTGGCTGCTCACTGTTAAAACATTTTTTTTAAAATGGGTCCCCCCTATCGAGCCCCCACCTGCGATGCGCGAGTGGGGCTTTTGAACTAAAGCTATTGCCCCCCCCGGCCCCCACCCCTGAGCGCTGGGTGGGGGCCCTAAAGTAAAATAATGGGGGGAACCTATTGCCACCTCCCCTGAGCGGCCCTAAAGTAAAATAATGGGGGAGACATAGTGTCCCCCCCCCGGACCCCACCCCTGAGCGGTGGGTGGGGGCCCTAAATTAGAATGGGGGGGACCTAATGTCCTCCCCCCGACCCCCACCCCTTAGCGATGTGTCGGGGCCCTAAATTAGAATGAGGGGGGGGACCTAATGTCCTCCCCCCTGGTCCCCACCCCTGAACGGTGGGTGGGGGCCCTAAAATACTAATTGGGGGGGACCTAATGTCCCCAAACTCCTAGTCACCCCCCTCCCCCCAAAAAATTATCCCTACCTACCCCCCTCACCCTAAAAATAATGAGGGGGGAACCATTTAACTAAGTACCTGGAAAAAAAAAAACTTACCATTTGATGTTTTCTTTCTTCTAAAATCTTCTTTTTTCAGACCCAAAAAAGGCCAAATAAAAAGCCATAATAACCGACGCACTTAAGAAAAAAAGAAAAGAGTACAAAAAATAAAATAATCCATCTTCACCCGGCAAGGGCACCGCGCAGACTGAGCTCTGCAGGGCGGGGGAAAGCTTATAAATGAATCAGCTAGCAGGCCATGGATATAAAGAACACATTTTGACTTTTGGAGAATATTTAATTTTATTTGTAATACACAAATGTTTAAGGCTATGGTATGTGAACTTAACTCACATGTGCCAGACTACTGTAAAATCAGACATTTAAATTTTAAAGCTGTTATTGCAGCCTGTAGTTAACAGGGTAAGCCTCTTAAACACATTAAGGTAGTTTAGAATCCCATTTGTCAGTCATTGCTAAAGAATGTCTCTTTCCCACTCATATTTTAACATTGTGCATTTTGAAGACACTGGTCATTTTACAGTAATGTTATGAGATGATTCCTTGAACCAGATTTAAAAAAAATAAATAAATATAGTTTTAGGTTCATTTGCACAGTTTTTTTTAAAAAAAAAAGGAACAATGTTTAATTAATTTCACAGTAACCTTTTGAGTTGCATTAGGATTCCCAAGCAAAGGTTTAAAATAGTATACTAAACAATATAACAAAATGGGTTTGCCTGTAAAGATCTTGTCTGTTTGGATTAGAGAACAGAAGTTTGAAATGTCTGTGTTTTATGCTTTTAGCTTAGCATTCTCATTAAAACAGTTCTGCTTTCTCCAGTTACAGGAATCACTTGTGAACCTGAGACTTTATGAAGTTGTCATATGTTAAATAATTACGCTATTTTACAACGTGTTCTGCTATACCCATTCAGCATCTTAAATCTACTCTGTCATTGTCAGCTTGGCATTTTAAAAGGTCAATCTTCTTTTGACCCAAATCAAATATCACATTAATTTGTCATTTGATACAAATAAATTAAAGTTAAGACATTGTTGTAAATTGAACAAAGATTTCAATTGATACAGTCACTGGAACTTTGTGATGTGTTGATTTATTGAACTCAGAAAAGTTAAATTGTTAGATTTTATATAATCGTTAACATTATATAAGATGCAGATAAGGGACATATAAAATTCTGTGACAAACTGCGCTTTGGGGCTTATAAATTGAAGCAGAATAAAAATAAGCAGATGTCTGCTATAAATATCTAGCCGTGTTCATTGTTAGCACATACACATAAAATTTCACAGTTTTACTCCATTGTGTCTTTTTTTTCTCTTTAGTTTTGTCAAAGCATTATATTTTATTACATTTATTACATTTTATGGGGGTCTATGAGCTACATCAAGCGTACATACTGTTTTTTTTATCAGTAATTATTGGTAAATTATTTTTAACTCGAGCACTCAAGCTTCACAAGTTGCCATGGCAATGGGAGCTAACCAGAAAACGAAAAAAAAATATATAGCCTAGGATCCAGGTCAGTCTTGACAAAAAAAAATGTACATTTCCTACTGGTTATTTGTCAAGTTCAAGTTCTGAAATTCTTATAAGTGCCAAATATTTAAACATTACAAAGGAACATTACAAGGGAAGAAATTATAAATGCCAAATTACTTTGTAGATTAGTTATTTAACAGAGTATAATGCTATGTATTTTGTATCTGTAAATGGAGCAATAAACAAAAAGAACTGAGTTTCCGTGCCTAAGGACTGGGGTTCATTGTGATTGGCAGATTTTACAAGCTTATTCACAAAACTCTGGCTATTAATGAATTAAATTACCAAAAGGCTTTAAAAAAAGATACCTTTGATTTTGACATAATAACATGTGCATTATAAGACATGCTCGTATACAAATGCAAGGATGACCAACTACAATCCCCAATTTCCTCCTCAAGACTCGGATGCTGTCCAAAAATCATAAGACATTTAGACTTTTTAGAGATGGTTGAGCACGATTGAAAAACAATAGTTACCAGTGGGCTAACACAAGAAGTAAAGTCAAACAAAGCATGTTTTCCATCTCGGAAACTAGTCTGTCGGGTGAGAGAGAGAGTAGAGGTTTTTGTCCTGCCACCACCTTTAAAACCAAACAGTGGCTAGCTTCTTTGACGATGCTCTCTAAGAGGTCTCTCAGGAAGTGCTACTTAGATATGAATTTCATATGCACCTCATTGTGCTTCCCCCATGCCACATTTTTAATAAAAGGCATTTAATGAAGCAGTTGTGTTTTTTTTTATTTTTTTTATTTATTAAATTTATTTATGATCATTTGAATACGAATCTAGCATGCTGAAATACCTGCTCTCATTCTTATACTAGAACTTTTGACGATATTACAACTGCACAAGTTTATTCACTAATTTTATTATAGATTGAGTTTACATTTGATTACAGTAGAATCCCCTGTGGTTGAACTGCATTGATACTTCGCAGTGTATCTTTTTCCTCATATATCGATACCATTACATTGAAGGGATTCTCTTAACTGTATCTTATTTTTTGATACTTTGATACCAATATATCTCGATGTAATTTACTTCGAAGGTAAGAGTATCCCCTGTAGTTATATTAGACTGACACTTAGCATTTTATTTCATTTTTGACTTATAGATATGAGTTATTGAACGAAATTGTCAGCTTCACTCAGTGGTATTCTCTGTATTGTACCCTATTTTGGATTTACAGACACTATTATATATCCATTAATATCGTGACATGCGACGTATAAACTCTATTATATTATCTTATTTGTTCATATTTACCTTTACTTCTCCTTTTTCTTGTGTGCTCCTTGCTTTGACTGCCGCAATTGACTTGTGTTTAGTCAGGTAGCTGTCGCTTGTTTTTTTTTATAGATTTATGTTCTCCATTTATTAATAAAGTATCTTCCAGATTTTTAACTGTTGTGTGTACCTTATATTGGTAGTAGGAACAGACTCCTCTTTCTCTTTTTTGTTCTGTATTTTTTGAGGGTTACCCCCTATTCTGATCCTTCAGATTTTAGGACACCGATTTTTCTGGCCAAATTTCATTATTTATCAGTTGTGGTTTATAGATCATGCCCCTGCAGTCTCCCTGCTCAAAACTTTGCCATTTAGGAGGTAAATCACTTTGTTTATACAGCCCTAGTCACACCTCCCTGCATGTAACTTTCAAAGCCTTCCTAAATACTTCCTGTAAAGAAAGAACTACATTTGAAACTGTTTTTATTGCACAATCTGTTTAATTTATAATGTTTAATCTCTCTTTTATCTTTTAAAGTTTGTTAAGATCTGGGGAAGGGCCTGACCATCAAGCTGGTCGGACACATCTCAACAGGTTCTGAGGGCAGTGGTGTTAATCCGTGAATTATTCTTCATATTTCTCATATCCATGACCTTCCACAAATTACTGAATACTCTTATGGACTCCAGACTAGCCACTTTTAAAGTCTGAGCTAGGTGTTTCTCACCCTGCAGCCTACAAGCAGCCTACTTGAAGTGGTGTGGAGGCAGACGATCCCTTTGCCACTGGACTCTGATCTGCAGTGCCTGCCTGGGGCCATTCTCTCCCCCTCCCACCGGTGAGGGTTATCCCGGCACCTACCTCTTGTGTCATCAGGCTTAATATCCTGACAAACAGGCTGCAGAAGTGGCACCTCTTGTGCAATGGCAGATGCCAGCTTCCTACTCGACACTGGAGACCAGGCATCTTCCACCTTGGCTAAACTAGACCAATTGTTTGCTGACTTTTGGTCCAAGCTCCAAAGGAGATGACATCCTTCTCTGACCGAGGAGCTGACTTCCACCCTGCCTACACTTCAAACAC